AGAGAGAGAGAGAGAGAGAGAGAGAGAGAGAGAGAGAGAGAGAGAGAGAGAGAGAGAGAGAGCTCTGCCTGTTCCACTAAGGGGCAACATCTGAATATTCCTTAGACTGATGGGGCAGCGGCAGTGACATTTGACACCCACCCACACACACACACACACACGTTGGACATTATTTGAGTATGGCTTAATCAGACGGACGGGGCAGCGGGGAAGACATCATTAGGCGGGGCCGAGACCTTTCTTGACGCTGGGACAACATTTGAATATGGCAGAGTAAGAGGGATGCGGGAGCGGCAGTGACATTGAAGAGAGAGAGAGAGAGAGAGAGAGAGAGAGAGAGAGAGAGGTCGTTTTTGCGAAGTAGATGGCAGAACGAGTGTAGGTATCTGAGAGAGGCGAGATTTCCAATCTGCGGCAGGGCAGCTAAGAGCCTCAGAGGCTGGACAGCGATGGGTATTGCGTCGTTGATGGGGTGTATAATGGTAGTGGTTTTCCTCTTGGCACCATCCGATGGCGTCAGCCAATCATGGAGATCATCATGGCAGATAGAAGACGGAGATGAGAGACGACGAGAGGGAGGGGAGGCATTGCGTCATTGGGATCCCGCTTGTGGAAGAAGTGGCAGGAAAGAAGGACAGTCGGGTGCTCGATGGCGATCCCGACTGTGGTTCTGGGGCCAAAAGCCGTCGGGATTGCATTGTGATGATGGGGGAGACGCCGAGGACGCGGCAATGCGCAGGCGGAGGACGGGGAGTGCTGCGGCTGCTGCCCCGTGTCAAGCGTTGGCCTCGGCTACTCGAGCCGCCGCAAGACATGGGAGAGAGCGGATGGAAGACAATCTCGGAGCGGGTGGCAGATATGCACGTGGTGATCCTGGTGGAGAGGAGGAAGGAGAACTGGGAGAAGGGAGGTGGTCGCTGTTGGGAGCTGAAGAACGAGCGGGGAAACGAGTACTGCGAGAAGATGATACGGAGATGGTGTTCAATGTTGCAGAAGCTGATGATCCGCCGGCCTTGGGAGAAATCATGGTAGGCGAGATGACGTGGGAATCCGATTCCAATTATCTGACTTCATCGGCACAAGGTGGAATGGGCGGCGGCGATGGGCGCTCGCGCATGTTGCCGGCCATGACTAAGAAGAAGAGAGCAGCAGCTGCAGGTGTAGGCTTCGCAGATGGATGGAGAACGGATAGCATTACAGTCGTCCCCCGAGTACAACGCACACGCATTACACCTGTATCCGGTCTGAAAGCTGTTGCGAATACAGATTTAACTACGGTGCCTTTTATTCAGGAGAAGCCAGTTAGTAGAAGTGGTAGCATCTCGAGTGGTAGTAGTAGTAGTAGTTCTTGTACTAGTAGTAGTTCTAGTAGTAGTTATAGTAGTAGTTCTAGTAGTAGTAGTAATAGCAGTAGTAGAAGTAGTAGTAGTAGTAGGAGGAGGAGGAGTAGGAGGAGTAGGAGGAGGAGTAGGAGGAGGAGTAGGAGGAGGAAGTTGAACGAGAAAGAGGGGCAGCGACAGCTGCAGCAGCAGCAGCAGCAGCAGCAGCAGCAGAATGATGTGGACGTGGAAATTATCTGGTTGTCCGACGAAACAGCCCTGGTGGGAGGGTTGTTGCTGATTAATAAAAGGGATACTATCTCAAGCAGTACTACCGGTAGTAGGAGGAGCACATGGAGTAGGAGGGGTGGGAGGAGTAGGATGAGTGGGAGTGGAAGGAGGAGGAGGGGTGGGAGGAGTACGTTGCTGATTAATAAAAGTGATACTATCTCCACCAGTACTAGTAGGACGAGCACAAGGAGTAGGAGGAGTAGGAGTGGGGATAGAACGTTGAAAGAGAAAGAGCGGCGTCATCAGCATCATGATCAGCGGCGGCGGGACCACCACCGGCAGCAAAATGAGGTCGAGGGGAGTAGGAGTATAAATAGAAATTTGGAAGAGAGAGAGCAGCAGCAGCGACAGCTCGACGATGTCGAGGAGAGTGGATATGGAAAGAGACAGTTGCAAGGGGAAGGTCAGCAGAACGAGGCCGACGAGGAAATCATCCGGGTTTCATTCGAGGGAAGTAAGAGTAGAAATAGACAGTTGGAAGAGAGAGAGCAGCAGCAGCAGCAGCAGCAGCAGCAGCGACAGGACGACGATGTCGAGGAGAGTGGAAGTGGAAAGAGAGAGTTGCACGGGGAAGGTCACCAGGATGAGGCCGACGAGGTAATCATCCGGGTATCAAATGAAACGGCCCTCGTGGGAGCCGTGACATCGACCCTGACGGCAGTCAAGTCGTCCGTGACGGTGATCGTGACAGCGCATTTGTCGTTCGCTGGGTGGAAGGAGGAGGCGGAGATCCGGCTGAATGTTGACGCCAACATTACTGTGATGGGCGACTGCGGACCACGACGCCGGTGTGTTATCACTGGCTGCATGAACAGGGGTTTCTGCTTCCGCCATGATGGGCAATCAGGATGGGGGTCTTTATCGTGGTATAATTTCGAGTTTCGGTCAGCGTGCCTGCAGTTCAACAACACGAGACTGGAGCTGCACAACTGCGCCTTTCGCAGCGGCTCGCACTTGTCCATCTCCTACCCACCCAGTCCTGGGAGAGATGGAGATGATGGCAGCGATGGAGGCGGCAGGGAAGGCGAGGAGGACGACCGGCTCGCTGCCGCCGCCGCTGGGTATCCGAGACGGGGGGTGGTGATAGACAGGTGCTTCTTCGCGGATCTCAGCGGCGGGCTGCAGTTGATGGGACTTCCCCGCTCCGTCTGCATCTCGCGCTCTGTGTTCGTCTCCAAAAACACATGGGAGATGGCGCTGACGATCTCTTGGACGGCCGTTAGGCGGGAAAAGATTGTACGAATCTTCGACTGCGAGTTTGGCCAGGTGGATTCTCTCGGTACGTTGAAGACCGGGAACATCAAACTCAGTGTCAATCCGACTTCAACCTCCTCCTCCTCCTCCTCCTCCTCCTCCGTTACCCGCTCCTCCTCGCCGTCCTTATCACCACCACAACCTCCTTCTCCTTCATCAGCTCATCAGTCGATGCCGTCGTCAATGGCTTGGGCAAGCGCCATGACAGCTGCTGGAGGCGCTCTCGCTGGTGGCGGCAGCGACGACGGGCTTTCGGCTATGGCCGGTGCACATAACACAACGATATCGTTCGTGAACTGTACGTTCCAAAAACTCGGATGTCATCACGCCGTCATTCGACTGGCAATGCACCCCTCCTCCTCAACCCCTTCCTCCACCCCTTCCTCCACCCCTTCCTCGACCCCTTCCTCGACCCCTTTACTACTGGACGAGGGGGTTGTAAGCCCTCGCGTGAGATTCTGCGGGGTGAAGTTCAAGAACGTGGCGGCGATGGCGGACGTCAACGACGCGGAACCTCCGCCGCCGCCGCCGCCGTCGGCGACGATGGATGGTGATCTGTCATCGTTATCATCACCTGAAGCCGTCGACATGGACGTTGATTTGTTCGATCCTGGAAATCGGACAGTGGATATTGCGCAATGCTCGTCCAGCAGCGGGGAAAAGATGATGGGTAGTGGTGGAGTGGTGCGCACGCGCGTCCGGAGGGCAGGAGGCGCTGAGCCGATCATTGATGTTGAGAACAACACCTCTGGTGCGTGTGCTGAGTGCAGCAGCTGTCTCGGTTCATGCTGCAATGGCACCCGGATCCCGATCGATGACGCAGCGGAAAGATGGCCGCTCGAACCGTACAACGATACGCCGTTGGCGCCGCGGGCGCAGGCGGCAGCGGGCGGGGCAGCGGGCGGGGCAGCTGGCGCTATTCCTAGCGCAGATGAAAAAGGCGGGAAACGAACGAAAAAAGGCGGCAAATGGGACGGGCGCGCGGGGAAAATAGCGTTGGTAGCGATCGCTGTTGCGGCGGGAGGCGTTCTGTTGATTGCCGCAGCAAGTCTCGGAGCGCTTGCCTGGCAGCGGCGGCGGCGGCGACGGGGCTCGGCGGGGGCGCACAGTTCGGACAGTCGGACAGGAATTTCAAAAAATCTCCCGCCAGAACTCCAGCGACTGCGGAGTTTCAGTTACGAAGAACTCAGCAAGGCGACGAACGGCTTCGTCACGTTCATTGGGAGAGGCGGAGGTTCTGATGTATATAAAGCCACGCTGGGAACCGGGGAGGTAGTGGCCATCAAGTCGCTGAAGCGAGACCGGTGGCGAAGCGAGCGGGAGTTCCTCCAAGAAATCAGCATTCTGGGACGCATTTCTCACAGAAACGTTGTCATGCTCCTCGGCTTCTGTAGTGAGAAGGGTCGGCATTTTCTAATCTATCAGTTCGAACCCAACGGCACACTACGAGATCATCTCCACCATAAATCTCTTTCTTTTTCTCCTCCTCCTCTTCCTCCTCCTCCTCCTCTTCCTCCTGCTGCTGCTTCTGCTCCCGCTTGGTCTTCTTCTTCTTCTTCTTCTTCTTCTTCTTCTTCTTCTCCTCCTCCTCCTCCTGCTTCTGCTCCCGCTTGTTCTTCTTCTTCTCCTCCTCCTCCTCCTGCTGCTGCTGCTGCTGCTGCTGCTGCGGCTTCTGCTCCCGCTTGGTGTTCTTCTTCTTCTTCTCCTTCTCCTCCTGTACCTCGTCCTTCTCCTCCTCGTCCTGCTGCTTCTACTTCTGCTGCTGTTGTTCTTCTTTCTCCTTCTCTGTCGTTTTCTGCTGCTGCTTCTGCTCCTGCTTGTTCTTCTTCTCCTCCTCCTCCTGCTGCTGCTGCGGCTTCTGCTCCTGCGGCTTCTGCTCCTGCTTGGTGTTCTTCTTCTTCTTCTTCTTCTTCTTCTTCTTCTTCTTCTTCTTCTTCTTCTTCTTCTTCTTCTTCTTCTTCTCCTACTCCTCCTGTACCTCGTCCTTCTCCTCGTCGTCCTGCTGCTTCTACTTCTGCTGCTGTTGTTCCTCTTTCTCCTTCTTTGTCGTTTTCTGCTGCTGCTGCTGCACCGATTTCTCCTGCTTGTCCTTCACCTGGCTGGTTGGGAAGAGAGGAAAACTCGGAGGGTTTGGGCGCTCCACCATCTCGGCGCGTCCTCGATTGGCCCACACGAGTTCGAATAGCCCACGAGGTGGCCATGGCGGTTGAGTACCTGCACCACTCTCTCACCCCCGCGCTTGTTCATCGAGACATCAAGCCTGAGAACGTTCTTCTGCAAGGTGATTTCTCTCCCAAGGTGGCGGATTTCGGTCTCTGTAGGAACATCAATCCGGAAGTGAACAACTTGACGACGGTTCCCGCCGGAACGCTGGGCTACATGGCGCCAGAGATCTTCGAAGGCTTCTCGGTGACTCAGAAGGTGGATGTTTACAGCTATGGCGTCCTCTTGCTGGAAATCATTACAGGAAGAAGACCCTTTGGCCAAGGCTTCGCCTTGGTGCCTTGGGTTAAGCGTCAGGTCACGGACGAAGAGTCGGCCAAGGCTGTGGCCGACCCCAAACTGCAGGGAGAGTTTGATGCCAATCAGTTATACATGCTGATCGGGCTCGCAAGGAGGTGTTTGTACGATAGAATGGAGCTAAGACCGACCATGCGGAACGTCGTAAGAGCTTTTGAGAGAATACGGGGCCTCGAGCACGAGACCGCCGGTTCCATGGAGATGCCGGCTATGGAAGCAAATTGGAGTCCATGGCTGTCGCCAGCAGACGGGGCCCAACGGGAGAAGAATGGCAACAACCAAGATGGACACGACGAGGGTGATCACTACAGGGAGGAGGAGGAGGAGCAGGACTGGGAGGAGGGGGTGGCGGAGACAGCAGCGGAGATAGAGGAGAGGGAGGGGGATGGTGAGGAGGCATCCATGGATGGAATTCGTGTTCGAAGCAGACGGGAGAGGAGAGGAGGGAACTGGAACTCTGATGCTCATAGTGTGTCGGACCCCTCTCTTGCAACTGTGTGGGCCTATAGCAGTGACCTGACGCTATGAGCAACTGTAATGGTATTTCCATCATGACTTCACCTTCGTAGCTTCGCAGTTGGGCCTCGCCGCACCCCCCACCAAATGTGCAAAATAAGAACAAATCTTCGGCTAGAACATGGAAAGGAAGATGCATCATCATCATTGTTGTCTTTCGTGCATTTGGTGATTAGTGCGGCGAGGCACTTGGTCAAATCTAGGGGAGGGGAGGCTTTGCTTGTCGCAACTGTCCATTTGCGTTTGGACAACTTCTGGACCAGTTGCATTAGGATGAGTCCAGTATTTTGAACTTACCTGATCCACAAAGGTCCTGATCCATGTAGAGCGTTCTTTCTTTGGGGGGGGTGTAGTGGAGCCCTATGTTTCTCTCTTCTCTTTATGCTAAGCCATGGAGAAGAGTCAGCAGAGGAGAATTACTGTATCCCCTTGAATTGTTGACGTACTGATCTGAGCTCGAACTGCACTGGAAGCAGATGAGCAAGTGGATTGAGCATTCTTTTTTTGGGGGGCGGGTAGTGGAGACCTATGTTTCTCTCTTCTCTTTATGCTAAGCCATGGAGAAGAGTCAGCAGAGGAGAACTACTGTATCCCCTTGCATCGTTGACGTACAGATCTGAGCTCGAACTCCACTGGAAGCAGATGAGCAAGTGGAAGGAGAACACCATGGACTCACGTACAGATCTGAGCTCGAACTCCACTGGAAGCAGATGAGCAAGTGGAAGGCGAACACCATGGACTACCCGTAGAGTAGAGAAGAGTAGAGTACAGCTGGAGGGCAAATACAATATTCCAAAAGTTTGGGCTCTCTCTCTATTTACATGTGTCGAAAAGAAGTAAGAAAGGTCCTAGAGTGCAACTGAATTCAGTAAAGAGTTCCTTGTGTGAGTATAGAATAGAAGGTTAATTTAAGGGCCTGTCTCCAGCCAAAAGTTTGGGCTCTCTCTATCTACATGCATTTGGACGTTTTTACCAGGTGCAATTAAAATGTTGTACTCCTCCAAAGGGCATACTCACACTAGGCCCGCAAAATCACAAAATCGCAAAATGAGCGGCCAGATCGAGTCCTTCGTTTACAAGAACGCCATCTGGCCACTCATTTTGCGATTTTGAGGGCCTAGTGTGAGTATGCCCTTACCCCCTCAATTTAGTCTCTTTTAATTTTTTTTTGGGAACAAGGCTCCAATCTATTCGTGGGGAGCAGCACGTGCTGGGAACCGGGCCCAGAGTCCCATAGAGAAAATTACAGTAGGGCTTTTTCTACTACTGGCCAATGCGGTCAAATACATGGAGACCGGCCAGATACATGGAGACTCCCTTCTTTCAATATCTCTCTCCTCTCTTTGCCTTTTCTGCCTGGTCAATCCCCTGGTCTCCAGGGCAATCAATGCTGGCAAGAGGCGGGTATTCTGAGACTGTTGATGTATAAAGGGAAGCTGGACCCGTTTTCCAGCAGGTGATGCTCCCCACCAATAGACGGAGCCTCTCCCTGGGTGCTAGTGATGCCTTCTTTTATCAGCAGCACTAGCACTGCAGGGGGGTTCGAAAAAAAAAAAAAAAAAAAAGGGACGCTGGACCCGTTTTCCAGCAGGTGTAGCTCCCCCCCAACAGACTGGAGCGACATCTGCTCTTCTCTCTGTATCAGCTAAAATTTGATGGTGATGATCTCCTGTCAAACCACAAGTACAAGGCCCCAGCCCTGCAGTCCGACACTTGTTGCCAAAAGAAAAAAAAATGAGGCCGAAACGTCTGCGGTCGCATTTTTGTTTCCCGCCTCCAGAATTTGAGGTGTCAGGCCCGCGGCCCAGGTGCCCATGTACTGGTGCTTTAAACCACCACTCCCTAGCCCTCCCGGTGAGTTCAGGCGGGCTTTGAGGGAGGGTGGCGACTGGAGGCCGAGGGTTTTGAGGGAGGGTGGCGACCGAAGGCCGAAACCGTGGGCCTAGTCCGGCGACCGGAGGCCGAAATAGCCCAGGTTGTTGTAGAGGTGGGAGACCAGACCAATGACAATTACCCACAGTACCCGGCCACTAGGTTGTCCAGCTGAACCCCTCTGCAGACCCCACCCACCCTTCCTCATCTTTTTGGCCCTGGCTGACCCCCACCCCCCCTGTCCTACCCTAGTGTTAACCACCCGGGTCCATCCCCCATTACCATCTTGGCGGGGTGACCTGACCAGACAGCGGTTGCAGGCACCCTGGCTACGCAGACAGACCTACCCCCCTGCTCAATTTCTCCCACTATGTCGGTTTTTCCCGGTAGCCCTAAGGAACCTGTGCTACCGGTCCCCCAGGAACCTGTGCTACCGGTCCCCCAGGAACCTGTGCTACCAGTCCCCCGAATTTGTTGTCGTCGGAGGGAGTGGTGGTGTAAGCCGCCAGTACATGACCCCCGCCTTGCTGAAAATAAAAGTCGTCGCCTACTAATATTTTGGAGGCTCAGTGCCATAGATAAATTGAATCGGCACCGGGCGGCCTCCGAAAAGGGCCCACAACCAATAGCTGGATGTATTCCGGAACACAACACACCCGCACCCTCATTTAGGACCGGAAATCCAGCTTGCATGCCTTCATTATTGGTGCTTTGTATTTGCGGCGGAGGACTATAGAGCATAGTATCCCTTACGACAACCAGGAAGTAAAAACTTCGTCAAGGCCTTGGCGGAGCCTGAGGGCCTGGCCGCACTAGGATTACTTCTATAAAGCACTGGACATAATTGCGTTCAGATTGACAAATTCATCCAGGTCTTGCTGTAAATGCGGTCACATACATTTAAGATAGAGCTAGTGTGAGAAAGCCCTCAGATTGGCAAAGAATGGGCACTTGTCTTGAGGACAGGTTTGGCCACACGTCTCTAATGTATGCAATCGCAGGATGCCACGAGGCACCATTGTATACCATGAAGTTGGCAGGATTCTGCCGCTTGCTAATCACCACAATGGGCTTTGCTCCACTGCTCACTACAAAAGGCAAAAAGTATGGTTCTGTACCTTTCCATATTCTATTTGAAGATTCTGAGTAGTGGAGCAAGGCCCATGCTAAGGGCCTGGTTGAATTACTCGCCATCTGCCAAGTTTAGCGAGTAGGTGCTTGGTTGCACTTACTCGCCAATCGATGCGAATGAAAACTGTATAAGACGCCTCGTCACACCATCGACACAAGTTGTGGCAAGTGTTTTGGGTTCCCCTGGGTTCCCCACCTGTCAACGGCGGTTTGTGGAGGGTGGTTCTTCAGGCCTCTCCACAAAACTTCTTGACGAGTGCACGAGCTTCATGAGTGGAGATCAGGCGGACAATGTTTCTGAACTTTTCTGTAGAAGAAATATAGCGGCGAGTAAGTGCAACCAGGCCTCCAGTTCGACACGATTCTTTTTTTTTTTTTTTTTTTTTTTCCTGTCTCTTATACACATCTAGATGTGTATAAGAGACAGGTGCTGGGGAGGTCAATAGTGCGGCGTGGTTAGGTGAGGGAGTTTTATTAGTTGTAAGGTAGATATAATGATGGAAAATGTAGAGGAGTGTAAANTTTTTTTTTTTTTGAAGTTGAACAATTGCATTATGAAAGGAAAGAGGCCGGGGACCCCACAATTAAACCCGGAAGTTGGGTCCATACCCAGAACAGTAAAAACTGGAAACAGGGTCCAGTGTCCCATCTTCCCCTGGACTTGAAAGCTCTCCAAATCTGGACTTGGAAGCTCATAAAAAGGCTGACTGCCATACATTCTAGCTTAAACTGTGGGTTGCTGAGTTGCCCCCAATGGGGTCCCTTTGCTGTCTAGCTGTTCCTGTCCATGTTCCCTCTTTTTTTTTTTTTTTTTTTTTGTGGGGGGGGGGAAAGGTCCCAGTGCCCAAGGTTTGTATTGGTATTTGAGAACATTGAGGCCGGGGTCCTCACAGTCTACCCGGAACCAACATATGATTGTGAGCATGATGATGATGATGATGATGATGCTAAAACTGATGATTTTCTGCTAATCAGAATCATGATGTTTGACCAGTCACACTCTAAGTACTAGCCAATAAGGAAGAATGATCAGGAAGGCTAATCAGAATGTTCTCTACTCAGAACTTCAACATGGAATTCCATCCTAATTCCAGGTATTTCTACCAATTGCAGCAAATTGAATTCTCACCTGATGCTGTGCTGTGTACCAATCCCACCTCTACCCAATCTCACACCCTCTATTTAGCTAAGTTACGGGGCAGCGCTACGCCCCCCAGCTCCGACCATTGTCGGCAGGACTGTTACCGTCGGTCAACTTAGTGGACTGCCTTCCTCCCTCAGCAATCCCCAGATCTCTCTACAAGACCTCAAGCTCCTAGTAGTTTAGGTTACAGGGCGATGCCCCAGCACCGGTCAGTGTCGTTCTGGCATCAACTTGACCTAGGCAAATGCACATTCACAACTCAATCTGACAATAAGTAAAATTGATAATAATACCTAAAAACAAAGGATTTAATTTAGTTGAGTCCCCAACAGATGACGTATCTGATGAGGGTGGTTACCTAAGAATAAAGGATTTGATTTAGTTGAGTCCCCAGCAGATGACATATCTGATGAGGGTGTGATGATAATGATTGACGTCAGTAAATATGGATTATATTCCTCTTCCCCTTACTGTTCCTTCTCGCCCCTTGTTGCCTCCGGCCCTCCGCTGAAATGAACCCCCCTGATGAGTAGTCTTTTTTCAGCCCCAACCTGGGACAGTCCCATTTACAGCCGTACTCACCACTAGGTCCTACCAGTCCCCCCAAAGTATGACCCATTCAATCTGTTGCCCTAATCTGCCACCGCTGGATTACCAGCCCCAGATTAACACAATCCCCCATCTACTTCCACTCCTAACAGAGCATCACTTCCCACCTTGCGATGCCCTTATAGAGTTTCAGTTTTCCCCATCTTACCCACTTACCTTCTCTCATATTTTAATGAAACGCAATCAGAGGATTTTTTTGAAAAACCTAACGATGTAGATGCTGCTGTTGTTGATGATGATATTGATGATGACCCGTGATATAGATTCCACTTCCCCTCTCCTCCCTTGCCTCTTCCCCCCTCTTCCTCTCCTCCTCTCTCTATGCTGCCCCCAATGAGCGAAATCGATCTGCAACCAGTTTATTTCCCTCAGCCCAAGTTAGAGACAGCCATTTCCTCTTCCTTTACTCCCTTGAGTAATCAGTTCCCCCCACTGATTTACGTCAAGCTAGCTGTGCCCTAATCTGCCACCGCTGAGAACTTCCCCAACACCAAACTACACCACTCATGCTTGTCTGCCTGTACTCCCTCGAAGGTTAGCACCAATCTTCTTGCGCTTCCTTTGTAGAGTAGAGCTCACCCCACCTTTAATCCACTTACCTTCTCGCCAAATCTGACTCAAAAGTCAGTGAGGAGAAATGAACTAGTTAGATGATAGTGATTAAGAATACTGAATAACGATTTGTAGGCATATGATGGTGATGATGGTGGTGATGATGTCAGAATGACTCTACAAAAAATTTAGCGAGGGAACTATTTGGGAAATTGTATTTCGAAAAAGGGAGTGAACTTCAATGTCGTAATGATAAATTAAATTTAGAGCAGACACAAGTTTGCTCTATGAATGATGGTGTCGTGCGGTAAAGATAATTAGTAAGAATAATTAATATTGAGGTTTATATTGACGAAATCAATAATGAGAGGTAAGAAGAGAAGATTTCCCACACCCTCGCCTCCTACCCTCCTCTCTTCTACTGGTTTCCACTAACCCAACTACTTGCCTCTTTTCTTTTTCCTCCCTTTTCCAGTCCTCTCCCTTTTCCCATTCTTCTTTGTACTAACACTTGTTGTCGTCGTTCTCCATTTATCACCTCGTCATCCCTCCCCCCTGGGTCTGACGAGTAAAGTCGTACCAGTAAAACGAAGTGTACAATCTTTTGAGTAATGGGAAGAAGGAAGAGAGAAGTCGGAAGGGAGGCATTCCGATAAAGAAAGAAGAATTGGAGTCAAGAACAAAAATCAGTGAAGAAAAAGGGGCGTATTTAGAAATGAGAGGTGAGAGAGGATGATGACGTGGCATTGATTAATAAATTAATGAATATCTGTCGCAGAATACGAACGTGGCAACTATATTGCTATCGATAATGATGAAAATTGGTAATGTTCACATGAAGATGACATAATGATGCTCCACAACTAGCGATCTTGAAACTCTTGGTGCTCTTGATGAAAAACCTGCACGAAATACGAGGAAAAAAAAAAAAAAAAAAAAAAACATAGATAAACTTGATGATGATCCTCCAACTTGATGATATCCGCTCGCTCTGTGTTGAAGTTTTAATTTCCTTTAAATAGGGCAAGCGATCTCCACACTTGGTCTCCTTGGGGCTAACTCCACCCTCGTCCAACGACGTCAACATTCGCCAACTAGCAGGAGCTCTCCAGCCTCTTAAGGGCATCAACTATGGAGTACTTCATGTAGAAGGCACCGGGAAAATGTTCAAATACCAGCCACCGCCACTGTTCTCATTTTTTTTCTATGCCTCAGGCCAGGTGCTACGTCAGCCTATGACGTGGCACTGGCCAAGCACCTCCGGATTACGTGCGTATGTAAAGCGTTGTCACCTCTTCAATCCACCTCACCACAGAGCCTGCGCACCAGCGCCTCCCTCATGCCGACAACTTGCGGTATGCCACGTGTAAGAAACTATTGCCATACACTCGTTGAGTCAGCGCCTCGCCAGTTGTAAGTGGTCAGCGCCCCGCCCCTCACACGTTGTCAGCGCTCCGTTTCCCACTCGCAGTCAGCGCCTCGCTACTCCATTTTAGCCAGCGCCTCGCTGCTCGCAGAAAGCCAGTAGCCCCCAGCCATGAGATGCCAGCGCACCGCCTCCCCCAACCAGCGAGGACCGCACCCACAAGCATTCAACATAGCATTCCCCTCACGCCGCCATCGTCTCGCTGCCCGCCGCCGCTCAGCGCTAACGCGCGATGCCTAATCCGTCGTTGTTGTGACCTATTTCCCGTTCCTGTCCATGTTCCTAAGAAAGCCATTTCGAAATTTCCAGCCTCTCGTCTCCTTAGATGGCAACCAGCTTGTTGTCGAGGGCCCATGTCTGAAGAAACCATTAGTGGCCTCGTCCTTGACATCCCCGACATTGTTTCCAATCTTCACGCAACATAAGGCGGATCTGCAAACGTCCTCCACCTCCCTCACCCATCGACCAAAGTCAAACCACCTTCAAACCTTCTTCCTCCTCCGCCTTCTTCACCCATCCACCATAGCAAAATCGCCTCCACAGATTCTTCCTCTTCCACCTCCTTCACCCATCCACTATAGCCCACCACCTTCACACCTTCCTACTCCAACTCCACCCATCCTCCATAGCAAACCACCTTCGCACCTTCTTCCTCCTCCACCTCCTTTACACGTCCACCATACTCAACCACCTTCACACCTTCTTCCTCCTCCACCTCCTTCACCCATCCACCATAGTCAACCACCTTCACACCTTCCTCCTCCTCGCCCTCCTTCAACCATCCTCCTTAGCCAACCGCCTTCACATGTTCTTCCTCCTCGACCTCCTTCACCCATCCACCATAGCCAACTGACAACCGCCTTCACACCTTCTTCCTCCTCCACCTCCTTTACCCGTCTACCATAGCCAACCACCTTTACACCTTCTTCCTCCTCCACCTCCTTCACCCATCCTCCATACCCGACTGCCTTCACACCTTCTTCCACCTCCACATCCTTCACCTATCCACCATAGCCAACCACCTAAACACCTTTTTTCTCCCCCACCTCCACCCATCCTGCATAGCCAACCACCTTCACACCTTCTTCCCCATCGACCTCCTTCACTCATCCTCCATAGCCAACCACCTTCAAGTTCACACCTTCTTCCTCCTCCACCTCCTCCACGTCCTTCACCCATCCTCCACAGCCAACCACCTTCACACATTCTTTCTCCTCCACCTTCTTCACCCATCCACCATAGTCAACCACCTTCATACCACCTTCCTCCTCGACTTCCACCCATCGTCCATAGCCAACCGCCTTCACACCTTCTTCCTCATCGACCTCCTTCACCCATTTATCATAGTCAACCGCATTCACACCGTCTTCCTCCTCCACCTCCTTCACCCATCCACTATAGCCATCCACCTTTACACCTTCTTCCTCCTCCACCTCCTTCACCCATTCTCCATAACCAACCGCCTTCACACTTTCTTCCTCCTCCACCTACCTCACCTATCCATCATAGCCAACCACCTTCACACCTTTTTCCTCCTTTACCTCCTTCACCCATCCTCTATAGCCAATCACCTTCACATCTTCTTCCTCCTCCATCTCCTTCACCTCTCCTCCATAGCCAACCACCTTCACACCTTCCTCTTCCACCTCCTCCACCTCCGTCACCCATCCTCCATAGCCAACCACGTTCACAACTTCTTCTTCCTCCACCGCCTTCACTCATCCACCATACCCAACGACCTTCTCACCTTCTTCCCCCTCCATCTCCTTCACCTGTCCACCATAGTCAACCACCTTCATACCTTCTTCCCCCTCCACCTCCTTCGCCCATCCTCCATAGCCAACCACCTTCAAACCTTTTTCCTCCTCCACCTCCTTCACCCATCCTCCATGACCAACCACCTTCAGGTCCTTCACACCTTCTTCCTCCTCCACCTACTACACCCATCCTCTATTATAGCCAGCCACCTTGACACCTTCTTCCTCCTCCACCTTCTTCACCCATCCGCCATAGCGAACCACCTTCACACCTTCTTCCCCCTCTACCTCCTTCACCCCATCCTCCATAGTCAACCACCTTTATACCTTCTTTCCCCTCGGACTCCACCTCTTTCACCCATCCTCCATAGTCAACCACCTTCACGCAATCTTCCTCCTCTGCTGCCTTCATCCATCCACCATAACCAACTACCTCACACCTTCCTCATCACCTTCCTCATCACCTATCCTCCATAGCCAACCACCTTCACACAATCTTCCTCCTCTGCTGCCTTCATCCATCCACCATAACCAACTACCTCACACCTTCCTCATCACCCACTTCAATGGCCAACGAACACCATGATCAATAAGATGTGGGGTCGTGGAACGTAGTAGGGGTCTTAGCTAAGGGCATTAGGACGACTAGAGGATAAGTTTTTATTTGGAAGTAAGGAGTCTTTTTTTTTTTTTTTTTCTCTCTCTCTCTCTCTCTCTCTCTCTCTCTCTCTCTCTCTCTCTCTCGCTCTCGCAAACTGTCTTTCGTCTGCCCCTCCAATACGTTAATTTGGTCTTAATATTTTACTCCCTCTTTCCTTTTAGCAAGCAACTAACCCTTCCCCACCCACTTGTCACATTGCTAGGGGGCGAACGGTGAAAGAACATCACTTGGTGGAAAGAAAGGCCAAGGGGATGGCCGCCGATCCCTTGTGCCACCAAGAAGAAAACGATATTTGAAATTGGGAAAGACTTGAAAGCACAAAGGATTAAGGGATTCAAAAGTACTTGAGGATTGACAAGTACCCAAGGCTGGAAAAAACTCATTGAAAGAAAGAAAGGTTAGTGGACTTGACCAACACCCCGACTGCATATGAATGAGAAGAGAATGTCTTGGGCAGTGAGAAAGAATGAAGAAGGAACAAACCGTAAAATTAAAAAAAAAAGCATGTGAGAGAGATTATGTGTTGACCTTGAAAGAGGATTGTGCTTGTCTATATCGCATTGAGTGTGCAGGTGCATAACCTTAGAATGCCTTGAGCTGGATAGGGACCGGAGAAGTTGGGTAGCGGAAAGGGACTGAATTTGAATGGGTTGTAAACATAACCTTCTCCCATGAATGAGTTGTTCACCGTATTTTTTTATTTGTGAAAGAAAATGCGGTTCGAATGGAAAAAATCATGCAAAAGGTAACGGGCGGCCAAGAAGGCCGCAAAGTCGACTGAAAGTATGGGCGGGGCTTCATAAGAGCTAAGGGGTGTCTAGGGAAGTAACAAGACGTGAGCCATAAGTCGCACACAGACCGGCCAGAGGATAAGGGGCGTCCCCCCACCTCGATGAAGTTGTTGGACCTTGCATTTATGAAATAAATGTGTAGCCAAAGGAAGACGCTTGACCTACCGTGACCGGCGTGACGTATTTAAAGAATAAAAGTTATCAAAGAACTTATGGATTGTCTGTGTATTGGAAGGAGCAATTGCTTGAGAACACAACAAGGCATTAAAGAATGAACGTTTGCAAAAGGATAAGAAAGACTATCTACCTACCGAGAAAGTTGAACTACATCTCCAATGTCAAAAACTTTTTTGCTCATTTGTCCACCCCTGTTCATCTCATAGCACTATGAGGGGGTGACTCTGTGACGACTGGCTCCGTGCTTTGAGCATGAGTGTGGACGGAGTCAAGCCAAAGTGAGATTTGTAGAAGGGTCGAATCAAGCTTAAAAGTCTAACAGGGTGGGCAAATGAGCAAGAGAGTTTTTGACACGCATCTTGTTCCAGACCAACTCTCAGCCAAGCTAGTATCGTGGTTGAGTTATGGGTATGCCCCTGACTCTTTGATTGACTGCCCTTAGCACGGCCTCCTGCCTTAACCTTTACAAGTGAGGCGAGGTTGATACCCTCAACACTCTCCTCGTCGTCTAACTCTATACCGTCCACAAGGTCAGATACATCATCGATCTCAGTTCGATTCCCTTCGGAATCAATCATCATCAATCGACTATCCTTTTTCTTCCACTCTTGTGAACTCTTCATCTTTCTTCCGTCTGTAGGGGGTTGTTGAGCTCCTCCTAGTCGGACCTAGCATAGCCTCTAAGTCTAGGGTTCTTTTGCTGAAAGAATCCAATGTGTGATACTTGATTTCCGGCCTCACTAACCAACAAGTTCTTAAGGTCTGTGGGACGACATCTCAAGCATATGGTCAATAGGACATGTGGATCATAGCGTACTTCAGGCACCAGAATGTGAGACACTCTCGTACGATAAAGGTAAGTTCGTGCACGGTCATGTATCTCTTAGTATCAAGTCGGGCTAGCGCGTCAGTGGCCTCTTGGGCTTGCCGCGAGTTGTTTCATCGCGCTTCTTCCAACTCCACAAAACTCTCTAAAGCATGGGTCTTTGCTCAATTGTTCATGTTTCTGCCGAATCTCTTTGAAGCCACCAATCCATCTAACCATCGCACTGTTGATCCATTCAGATAGGATGCGGCAATGATCCCCTCTTCATTTACAAGCGTCCTTTTTGCCGTCACCTACACCGACACCGTTCTCAACCAAGTGTCGAGAGCCTCATCCTTCTTATCACCTGAGAAGGTTGAGGGTGGTTTCAGCGGAGTCTTGGGGTACCAAGGTTGTTATTGTCCCGTCGGTGGGACCGACTGTTGTGTAGTACCAGCCGTTGAACTAGAAGATGAAGAAGCAACAGTTTGTGTTGTTGTTGCTGACGTACTGCTTGAGGAACTGCTAGTCTGAGACATAGCAGGACTGACCATCACCAGTGAGGAGACCAACGATGGAAAACCTAGAAGCAAGAAACTAGACCCACCTGTTCGAGATGGGAAGACTCTTCCCATTCCTTGCATGGTGCTCAATACCTGGTCAAGGGTGTATTGGATAGTATCCAGTTTACTATCCATATAGGTACTATGAGTATTGTCGTCAATGGCAGAGCGATCCAACCATTCTACTGCAACTTTGATTGTCTCCCTATTCTCTCGTCTAACTTTCCTGGTTCTTATCAAATTCTTTATTTCAGTAGCCTCTCTAAGTTCCTTCTCTAAACGTAAGCGGATCAACTCCACTTGCTAGAGTTCAATGGTTTCCCTAGTGTGTGGAGGTGGCGAGTTGTACTGCGAGTCGGCCATCTCACCAAAAAAACTCGTTGACGCCACTGTGTTGGACGTGGCCTGCAAAGTGTCCCGCATGTCTAAGCTGATCTAGCCATAGGTAGCAGCTGAAGTAGCGGCAGAAGTAGCCATAGCTGCTGCAATGATTGTTGTCGCTGCAAGCATTTGCTCGGCTGCCGCTGCCGCTTCTCTAGCCCTTTGTAAGCGTTCGGCTATTGCTTCCTGTCGCAAAGCCCTCTCTCCCCAGGGCCCAGGGGGTAAAGCTTTGTGCACTATTGGAATCCTAAGGGACTCCTAATGTGTCACCCTCCTTCCTGCAGATATGTCCTCACTAGTACCTAGTCCACTCATCAGCTAGCCAAACAATGTCTGCACTACTGCCCTCACTAGAGCCCACCACAACATGTGTCTGACCGAGTTGAAAAATAAATAAATATTCAGTAAGTTGCCTAGGCTATTGTTCAAGCGGTATCAACAACATTCACACAATTTGATCCACTACTATCTTGATTAGTTTCACTCACAACAGCTTCGATCAGAACTGGCTATGGTAGAACACTACCATACTATATTAGGCTGTTTATTAGGTGTTAGCAATCTGTCACTAACTAATCAAAATAAAAATAAATCATGTGAGCAAATGTATGCACAATGGGTTTCTTTATGATTGACAGTCGAGCGTCAATTGGAATCTCCCTCCCATGTATTTAACGTGCATGTCTGCATCATCGAGTAGCGGTGTCTAGGGTGTGCATTAACGACCCACCTCTGTGCTCAGGAATATGCCTATGACCAAACTGCCCATTTTTTTATCCTCGCGTGCAACAAGCCTTACGTCTGACTGATCTAGCTGATCAAGAGGCAGTTTAAGGACAGCCCCTAAGGTCCTCAGAAATTATTTAACGTCGAAGACAGGACGATGATCACAATTAATGGACACTTCAAATCCCCACAAGAAATGTTTATCGACGGTCTGGTAAGCGTTTGCATAGGACTGATCCGTCCGCACACCCCTCTATTAGCGCAGCAAAGAGCCTTAAAGGGCAAAGCAGCATGGGCTGCGTGTACTACTCTTATGAGTTGGCATGGTGGCTGTGACCCGTGCTTCAACCAGGACCCTTCAGAGGTACCACCCTCGTCGTAGATACGCCACCGGGAGGAATGTCGTCTCTCGGGGTAGACCGTTCACAACTCACAAAAAGAGGATACTCAAGGTTGGACTCACCTCCTCACGATAATAAGAGATTGAGAGGTTAGAGAAGGTAAGGGAACAACATACTTGAAAATAGTTTCCCCCAACCACAAATTTCTCACCAATTGAGCCAATGTGCATTTTGATGATCAGTCGTAGCTTCGGTACGACCCACAATGCAATGCAGTGCCACCTCAGGCAAAATGCCACATCAGCATGCTCTCATCAACATACATACATTCGTTGTCACCACAACTTCCACGTTGGCACCACAACCTTCCTGCGACGCACCCCTCTACCCGGGTGTCCTCACTGCACATAATCATCGTCAGTGCACCAAGTAACAATGTCGCCAGCGGCAGATAGGCGATCTCAAACCAGTTACGATACCAAATTGCAAGGAATATGAGTGGGAGCGATATACAAAAACCCGAATTGCAAAATCACGCAGAAGTCTAGATAGTCATGTACAAGCAGAAAGCTCAATGTACTGAGATTACATCCAAATAAGAACAATACAATGAACTCGTTAAGCAAATGTTCAAGTCGTCAGGTCACACCAACGTAGTGTTTAATGTCGCTTCCCTATGTCTGGCGCCCAGCGCCCAGCCTACTCTACTTGCCTACCTAGCCTATCTACATTCTTACAGAAGGCTCACTTTGACTTGAAGACCAATGTACATGTCGTGGACACCAATGCCGACCTCCCACATACACCATGTACGTATCCTCATCTCCCCTCATCACCCCCTATCACCCACTTTTGCGCCTCCTCCCGAAGACCCCCTGTCACCCTTTCTGCCTTGCGCC